AAAGGCGAGAAAGGCCGAGGAAAGTCCCAGGAAAGCGTGGGCCAGAAAGGCGAGAAAGGGCGAGGAAAGTCTCAGGATGGTGCGGGCCAGAAAGGCGAGAAAGGCCTGGGAAAGCCTCAGAAAGGCGAGAAAGGCCGAGGAAAGTCTCAGGAAGGTGCGAAAGGCGAGAAAGGCCTGGGAAAGTCTCAGAAAGGCGAGAAAGGCCGAGGAAAGTCTCAGGAAGGTGCGAAAGGCGAGAAAGGCCAGGGAAAGTCTCAGGAAGGCACATGTGATAAAGGCAACAAAGGCAAAGGAAAGTCTGGGGAAGGCGCGAAAGGCGAGAAAGGCCGAGGAAAGTCTCAGGAAGGCGCGTGCGAGAAAGGCCGAGGAAAGTCTCAGGAAGGCGCTTGTGATAAAGGCAACAAAGGCCAAGGAAAGTCTGAGGAAGGCGCGAAGAAAGGCCAGGGAAAGTCTCAGGAAGGCAAGAAAGGCCAAGGAAAGTCTGAGGAAGGTGCGAAAGGCCAGAAAGGGCGAGGCGAGAAAAGCCAAGGAAAGTCTCAGGAAGGCGCGAACCTGAACGGCGGGAAGGGGAAAGGAACGTCGCAGGAGGGCACGAACCAGAAAGGCGAGAAGGGCAAAGGCGGCAAAGGAAAGCCTGACGAAGACGCGAAGCAGGAAGATGAGAGAGGCCAGCTTGTACTTAAAACCTTGAACTATTTGCTTATAAGAACCCCCCCCAAAAACACAGATGCAAATGCCTATATACTGTCCCTTATATACACCAGGAAGATTTTTGTTTATATATATATATATATGGGGGGTTCTTATAAGCAAATAGTGTCGAGATACATAACACCCCGCACGCGGCCCCAACGTAGAATTGCTGCGATGCAGGCAGCACGAATGGCAAGCCTGTCTCGCGCAGAACGTCGTATGGATCAGAATACTCGTCGACTAGTTCCCCAATCAGCCCGCGCAACTCGTGGCTTGGAAGATGGTGACTCCGACAGACGTTTTGCGTCCTAGCCGACCCAAGTATTTTTCCCGAGGCTGCATCGCACCGATACTGGCCTATCAACGCAGAGTGATGGAACAGGGCCTGTTGACATGAAGCCGCTGGTGAAGCAGTTCACTTTCAACGGAAGCCCGAATGGAGCCACTTCCCAAAACTGAGCACTCGACTTGAATTTGCACAACCGACAAACCGCTATAGATCTACCCACAATCATTCTGCAATCCAGGTTCGCAAGCTGACCCCGGAGGAAGTGCAGCAGATCGAAGCCCCCTGTGTGCAAATTAACAACTGTTGCTAATCAAGGCATGTGTTCTGTGGCAGTTGTGGCCTGTCATGTTAAGTGCACCTCTGCACTAGATAAGGCGCTCAGTGGTCCTGAAGATATCGACTTACAGGAGCGCAAACGGCTCAATGAAGGAATGCGGCGCAGAATGCAGAATCCGCGAGGCGACCGATCATGCGTAGAAAGCCACACTCCCTTCTCTATAAATCCCCGAACCCTAAAACCCGAACTCAACCCTGAACCCTAATAACCCTATATCAACCCTAAACCGCCGAACCTTCACAGGCCTCAAGAAGGGCCTCGTCGAGCAATGGCAGGCTGCGAGCAGCCCGATGGAAAAGCATCTGGTCTGAAACCTGAGATGCGCGGGGGTTTGAGGGTATGGTGCTCTATAGCCTAGGGCTCACATTCTTCATAGGGCTTCGAAGTGTTTGGGGCCCGTGGCCCTAAACCCTAAACCCTAAACCCTAAACCCTAAACCCCATGAACCCTAAAATGTTGGTCCTCATTTTTTCTTGATTACAAGACTCGACTCTAAGGTTTGCCTTCTTGAAAGCCTATCTGTTAGACCGCGACATGTCTTCGATTGTTGTCGAGCCCTATTTCGAGGAGCCTCTGGTCTGCGACAATATTGACACGGCTCCCCCCCCCCCCCACCCCCTCCCAACCCAAACGCGCAGCATGAGCATCGATCATGATCCATCGAACTGCCAGCTGTGAGCTCTAGGCTGTCGGAAAGCCAAAACCGGGAGCACTTCGTGGAAATGCCGCTCTGTCAGATTGTGGAGAAGTATGAGAAGCTACCAGGCGGCGATAAATTCATCGCCGATATTAAGAGCAGCCATACCCTCAGACCGGGCAGAACATGCGTGCACATGTCACGCATATGCACTTTCCATTTCTAGGTCGACTTAAATATATGCATGAGGTCAGGCCGGGAAGAAGCACCCGCAGAGCGATGATCCGAATTGGCGGATATTCAAAGTGTTCAAATGCAACGACATCATGAGTCGCACTGCAGCATTAACTTTATTCCAATCCCCACACGAAGCTTGAAACCTTTCAATTAAAGTTGCTCCGGCCCTCCGCGGGCAAGCATCCAAGACTCCAGCATCAGCCGCGTCGGCTCGAAGACGTCCGCGACCGTTACGCCATCACGGAACAAGGCAGAACGCGCTGCCTTGGCGGAGACGCTGGAGGCTAAGGCAGCTGGAATGCAGGCGAGATCGCTTGCAGATCCGGAGGCAAAGGCAAACAAGCCGAAGAAAGCCAAGAAGGAGAACACAACCCTTCATCAGTTTAAACCCTCAAACCTTTCAACCCTCAACCCTTAAAAGGGTGCCAACCACGTGTTCCACCAGGAGCTGACGGAAGAGGAGAAGGTGAGGAAGGACTTCAACAAAGATCATCTTGCGCTGGGGCCTTTTTTATAGCCCAGAGTATAGTACAGGGAGCTCCCGGGGCCTTTGTCATTTATTGTTCTGGTCGTTCATATTTGCGGCCGAGGGTACGTTCTATGGCTGACAGAGCACTGGCCGTGGCTGGCAACATTACCTCCCAGGGGATCAAGAATCAGGAGGCCAACCGACCATGAGCACGTTTGATGTCTCAACTTCTGAACTCACATTTCGGGTTATAGGGTTTAGGGTTTAGGGTTGAGAGTTTAGGGTTCATAGGGTTTATAGAGTTTATATAGGGTTTATAGGTTTATATTTAGGGTTCTTGAGAATTATTAGGGTTGCATGGGGTTTATAGTGATTATAGGGTTGATAGGGTTCATAGGGTTTATGGGGTTTATAGGGTTTGTAGGGTTGATAGGGTTTAGGGTTTAGGGTTTAAATATAGCCCTGGCCAGAAGATGATCCAGCAACTGCGCCAGCTTTCGGAGGATGCGATTTTAATCTTCAAAGAGATTCTTGGGTGCATGGATGGGCTATGAGACCTTAAAATCCCCATAATGAACCCTATAACGGCCTTTTCAGGGATTATAGGGTAGAATCGCCCATGCGTTTTTTCAGCTGAGGATCCAAGACATGGTGTTCCAGCCCCTCCCGATTCCGCAGTGTGCGGCAAGGTTGGAAGAACACAGGCCAGCTTTGCAGGCCGTCTGTTGGATCTGCTTGTGCTTGTAATCTCGAATGTGTGGCCGCTGTGTTTCCCAATGCACCCAGGAGAGCCAAAAAACCCTTACAGATGCTGAAGACATTGTCCTGTCCAACCAACGACGCCGCCCGGGCTGCTATAGACAACTCCTGAAGCTGTGTTGACCCCATCTTCCCACCGCCCCTTTATATAAAGGATTTGTTGCCCAATTTGAAGCCCTTGCAGGTGTATCACCGAGCGAAATAGAACTCACAGCCATTAGCCTAACGCAAGATATTTCAAAACCCGGGCCTTCAACCCTCGACCCCGAAAGTCCTGACGGAGTTTGGTTTGCAACGAAGAGCTTCATGCACATGCACGCATGTCTAGCGATGATGCGGAATGGCTTCGGGCATATGTGCGCGACAATTGCGAAAGTATTCTCAAGCTGCTGGCCCTTGGGCAGGCCGTGGCATGTGCATGCATCATGGTCTCTTCGCACGTACATGTGTAGGCCTCGTTTTATAGTTATTGAGCCAACGGATCTGTGTTAAGGTGCCTTTGGCCGAGCTGGCTGCACAGCTCAGAAGAGTATATGCCCTACCGCATAGCATGGTTCCGTAGTTTGGCTGCATTCAACAAAGCTGGTCATGCAATTGTTTGCCTCCTATATATTCGGCCATCGAATCGAGTCCTAGGCCGGATCTCTTGGACCTTGCGACAGCATTTCGCTCAGATTCCACTTCTTGGGGGCAGATGCGAGTTCTGGAGCGCTGGGTCAATAAGCAACCCTGGAGAAAAGTACTTCCAGAGCCATTCCAGAACCCCAGCAGCAAACGATTGCATGTGCGAGATTTGGACTTGCCCTATATATAACAGAGAAGGGATCGGTAGCTTAGGATGGAGCTCACTGCCGCCGCTTGCTAGCGAGTTAGCACAAATGAGTCTGTTATGCAGGGTACGGTGCGGTTGCTGCTTGCCGCTCAGGTCTACGAAGATGCTCACGGGAGGACAACCCGTCCAGTCAAACACTATATGCTGCTACCTCACGAGATATTTGCGACGTTGCAAAACACTGGGCATGGAGATTTGCTTTATCAGAGCGCGGAGCAGGCTACTTGAACAATTCCGACATATAACCGCAGTTCAGGGTCGATAAGTCGCAGGGTCGCAATGCCGCATCCAAGGTTCGACAGTATTGGGCCGGACAAGACCAGCAATGGTGCGACAATCATCCGCTCCTCAGTGTTCCATGGCCAGAGATGGGAAGGCTTGACGAACCCAGCATCATGATGCCCAAACCAAGTTTTGCAATGAGGCTAAAGATCATGGACAGTGTGTGCCTCTTCGTCTATACGGGGACGGGGCCGAGTTTACAAGTGTCCTGACTGCAGCAGAGCACGCAGACTTATCTGCAGCATTATGAATTCTCGAGTGCCTGCAACTAACTAAGAAAAGCAGAAATTTGAAGTCTTTGCGATGCTGGCTCCGTTGAGCGCTCAAGGGTCCAGCACTTTGGATGGGCGGTTCATGCTGCCTGGATTTTCTACGTTTCGGGCCACATTCCTGAATTACATAACCTGCGCAATGTCAGCGGCCTTGGGCTTGCAGAAAGGTTGTCTTGCATCAACATGTGCTACC